ATGCCTAATTTCAACCCTGAACTACAAATATTCTCCTTTATTGGAACCAGCTGATGTCTTAATAATTAAAAGAGATATATAAATAACAAACCAAAGGAGTGACCTGGATAACTTTCCTATATTGGTTACAAAAGAGACAGTTCTTAAGGAATTTGTGAGAAGGGACAAAGGAAAATGAAAAGAAATCAAACTTTAGGACAGTATTTCAAAGGATTAAAGATCAAGGTGGTTAAAAGTAAAAAGAAGGACTATAAAGTAGGTTTATTTGATCAAGGTTACATAAATATGTTATCTCTGGTAATATTTAATGGGCTTTGGTTGACTAGAACTCAAGAATGAGATTTTAAGCATTTGTTTACAGATAAAGGATATGGGAAGAAGAGATTATTTGTTGTATTCTGATGAGTGATGTCACTAAGATTGTTTATACTTATGATGAAGAGAGAAGTCATTTCTTTATATATATTTTGTATTATTTTTCCTATTTTTCTTTTTCCTCACTTTCTATTTTTTCTTGTTATGCCTTTGTTGTTTTTAGTTTGTATTAATCCTTGTCTTTTTAACGGCAATGTTCAATAAAATTATTATAAAAAGAAAGGAATTGTTGGGGAATGAAAAACTCTTTTAAGTTATGATCACTTGAGTAAAAGAAACCTGAGAGGACAGAGCGACATCGGCGGCGGGTGAGGGGAGTGGGAGAGTGGTTCAGAGCTTTCCCACAACTTGAACAATCCTTCGGGATTCCCTTAGCCTTATCGTCTGAATCCGCAAGGATTTCAAGGGGGCGGCGATTGTTTTGCAATGTTTTATTCAAGTGCTTGCAGCCAGCGAGACTGCCGCCTACCCCTTCGAGAATGTTTTTAGAAGTATCCAGGAGGTCTGGAATGTGCCTTAGGTTTAAGGTGACTGATGCCCCTGCCTCCGGCGGCGACGTCCGCCCTGCTATCTGAGGTTACCTCAGCGTGTCAGCTTCGGCTCCAGCAGCTTGCAAAGGAGGCGACTCCAAGGCTGGAAGGAGCCAATTTGAACGAGGAAATGCCGCGAGAGATCGCTAGGCGGCGCATGATGGAAACGATCAGCCACACATAGTAACCTCCGCGAATTGTCAAACATTGCCATGGTTAAAAGGGCCGGAGAGAGACAGTGATCAGGTAATGCGAGCCACAGACTTTTTTTCCCCCTCCTCGTTGTTTCGGTTTTTCCCGACTGCTTCTCATTTGCGAGGGTTTAATGTATACTGGTTGGGATGGTGCGTTTGCTTGTTTTCCTCACCTTTCTTTTTGGAATGCATCCTTCGTGTTTCTTTTTCGTTGATTTTAATTCACATCCAGGCTGCTGAACCAGGTGGGAGTCCTTACGCATGAATGAAGCAAAGCTTTCTCCCGCCCTTCCTCCCCTTCTTTAAGAATAAAACAAAATTAAGCCTTAGACTATAAATATCCTCCCATTTGCAGGCTGGAGTTGAGAGATTTTATAGCTTGAAGAACCCACTAGGAAAAACTGACGGAGAAAATACAGTGACTATAGTGGTCACACTTACTAAAGATCTAAAATGTAATAGGGGACTGTGAGTGTCATCTGGCTTCAGCAAGCAGTGGCTTTGCTTGGTTCTGTAAAATATATGTGGCAGATAGAGCTTAAGGGGGAAAAAAGATTGAAGGAATAAAACCTTTACAGATGTTTCAAATAAATTGAAACACATTTTCTACACTGTCCAGGATTTGCTTCACTCTATTGTAACACCTTAAGCTAAAAGTAGGCTGATAAATCCTCAATACATTTTTTATATTGCATGCAATGTATTTTTTTAAAAAAATAGAGGATAATCTAAAATCTACAAATCATATTGTCTAAATTGAAATGTGATGGTTCTTATGCTTTTTTTCCCCTTTTTTTCCAATCTCTGCTTTATATCAATTAGTTTCTGTTTTGAACAAATGTGTTTAGGGTAGTGAGATTGCTTTAAAGATAAGAAAATCTGTTTATTTCCTTTTAAAAATTGCTTACATTTAATAATGCCATTTAGATCTTTCTTTAACATGGAGCCGTACATGCTGGAGATAAAATGCTACATTTCCATAAAGTTTGTAGTCTACATCAATGTCACTCATCTGATAAATTTGATTAAATATTGCAGGAGTGAACAGATTTTTGACAGTATTGTAGATTTGTATTGAAAGAGCTAATTCAGCACTGGCAGAAGCAGGAAAAGATTGGTGACCTTGGACCTCTTTTGAATGTAAAGGGGGAGGGGGAAGCAGCTCTCCCCTCTTTGTGGCACTGTGCTTAGGCCTGACAAAATAATCCTATACAAGACCATGTGATTCTATGTCATTCAGTTCTAAGAAAGACTTGAATCCTTCTTCCAAACTCAAGCAAAAATCTTCAAATGTCTCTAGGAAAAAGCTTAACTCTTCATACGTGTAGTGAAAAAACATGCACATTTCTACTTATTTTTGCTACATTACCATCCAAGGTAGAGAAAAGGATCCAACCTATTACAGTTTTAATTTTTCACCCACTGATTGTAACATAAAAAGGTTATAATATAGCAACATTTTGGCTTTATCTTATACATTTGCTTTATAATGCTATGGAAGAAGGATGATCACTTTAACATATTATACTACTTACTTCTGAGTGATTTATGAAGATAAGGCTGTCTGAGCATTTTTCTTGCACAATTACTGCTGCCCTACAATACTGTCCCTCCCCCCACACACATACAAACTTCTCCTTGAAAATGATAGTGAAACAAGGCCAACATAAATCCTATTATTGCTACTTACTGAACCAAATCTATAAATCACAATAAACCACGAAGTCCAGAGTCATATAGGAATACTTTGAAATGTTGCAAAGCCATCTTTGGAACTGCTGTATCACTAAGCATTCTTCATGAGGAAACAATTTGAATACATTGGTCCTTTGTAGGAAGCTTTTACCATCAATCTATAGAGGTTGTGAAAGGTCCATTTCTGGAGATTTTGAAGAAACAATGGAACAGCCACCTCTTGTAGATGATTTAATTGGTTTTCCTGCATATTCCACAGAGGTGGACAAGTTGATCCTTGTAACTTTCTCCAATTCTGCACTTCTAAGATTATATAACACAGAGTACCTACATTTGCAACAGACTCCAAAGACATGATCAACTGTTCTTGCAGTGTTAAAATCAAATCAAATACAATACTTCTCATCCACCCTTTCTACGTAGTTCTAGATTTATCTGTAACACACAATGACAAGACCTATATACAGACTTTAGAAACAAAAATCTCAGAACTATTTTTGCAGTAAATCCTTCAGAACTCAGTAGGACCTAATAGTTAAGATGCAAATTACTGGATTATCCTTTGTCCCCTGAACATTTAGGATTCTATGCTATGCTACCTCTTCAGAATGTCTGCTTTGAAAATCTCCTGAATTTATAGAAGAAAAATTACCTGGAAATTAATTGCTTTCTGTTTCTACTTGTACACTTAAATATAGCTATTAAGAAGCTCACTGAATACTATAGGACTAAGCAATATAAATTATATAGCCAAGTAAGTACTCATAGAATGGTACTGATATATTTCCTGTAAAAATTACAAATCTAGTCAATCTTGCTGAAATGTAAGAAACCCACTGAATACTATAGGACTTATCAATATAAAGATATATAGTATTGAACACAGTGGAACATAGATCTACCTGGAGAGAGAATTACTCATTAGTCAGTTGTAAATATATGGCACAAAAAGAAAATGTCATTGTTCCTTAATCTTGATTTCCAAGTATAGAGTTGTTCACATATTTTATTTGGGGATTATATTTAAAGTAATTGGAAACAGCTTATGCATGAGATGAAACACATCTTGTCTGAAATTTTATAGAAATCAGGGAGGACGGCCTATTGGAGCATTGTTTTCCCTCAAATTCTTCAAAAAAGGACTTGAAGGAAAAGAACCCTTTTTTTTAAAGCAACAATCAAGTTTATTAGCAGGACCTGAGAGTTTAGTATCCCAATATTCTCTTTGAAAGGAAATATCTGGCCTTTTGGACACTGGCTCTGCAAGGGCACAAGCACATGGTTCCTGAATGTGCTGAGTTTTGGAAAAATCCCTTTTCTTGGGATCAATTTATCCTAAAGAGCATGGAAATTAACTGAACTCTTCTGGAGTAAGCTATTCATGGCTACAATCCAGTCCATACTTCCTTGGAAATAAAATCCACTGATTTCCTTCCAAATACACATACTGTACCAGCATATATGTTATACACGTATTTAGATACTCAGAGGAAGTGTTAAAATTGATCCACTCGAGATTTGGCTGAAACAAAATGGACTCAACTGGCAATCGGAATGCAGGGCTAACCTGTGTTCTGCTGGTAAAACCAGAAAGATGGTTTGTCAGTAGCCACTATCAGTGACGGCAGAAGACATTTACTTTACTTGGGAAGGTCTCTAGAAATCTGGATGCCGAGTGGCGCGTGTGTTTTACCCATCTACTTACTCCAGGTAAAATATCTGCTTTGCAGCGGGACTGGAAAGAAGACATCCCGCATGCTTAAGCCAACAGAATGCCCAGAATTTAATCTATGCTTTGCTTGATTGTCAGCAACAGTACCGGGACGGAAGCAGTTTAGCCTGGATAATCACTTGACCCCTCCTGTAGGCGTAAGCGTGATGCTTCTAAAGCGCTCAAGTGTGGGGCAGACGGGAAACCTCGTTCCTAAAGGGTAACTCGCTTGGTAAAGCTGGAGGAGAGGGGGTGGGGGAGGAATCAAAACACCTTCTCGTTCCATAAGTACCCTAATGTCGCCCATTGTTTCAGGATTCCGTTGTGGAACGTTCCCGGGAGGGAAGCATTGTGACGTCAACGCACCTACTAATCCTCCCTGTTGAGGGGGAGCCTGGAGCCATGAGGTCATCGAAGCGGCCAGTGTAACTATCCCGAGAGCAGCGCCAGCGCCAGCAGCAGCAGCAGCAGCAGCTTCAGCGGCGGGGGAGGGGAGCCTGCCCAAGCAAGGCCGCCTGGGATCTCGCAGCCGCACTCCAGCTGCAACCGAGGCTCGCCGCCGCCGCGAGTTTCTGGCAAAAGCATGGAGGAGGCTGACACGAAAGAGCTGCAGGTCGGCTCCTGGCTGCCGGTGCTGGTGGAGCAAATGGTGAACGATACCCTGGTAGTCACCTTGAGCTGCGGGGAGAGGCGGTTTACCGGGATCCTTCTGGATTGCACTAAAAAGTAGGAGCATTAATCGCTTTGATGATTATTCTCTTTGCCCCCCCCCCCCTCCATAGAAAAGAAAATATAATTTCGGGAAAGGAAAGAGGGGGAATTGTAGCTGAGAAGTTTACTGTCCCCACTAGGCCCTGCTGGAGGGCGAGGACAGAGCAGCTGGGCAGAAGGCGGGATTAGGCCATAATCAGATTAAAGAGTTGCATGGCTCATTGCATGGGGGAAGGGAGAAAAATCAGGGAGAGGAGAGGAGTAAATGGTCACGTCGGTTCTCTTTCTCTCTCCCTTTCCCCTCCTTTTTTTTTTTTTATAATGGCATATTTTAGTTTCATTTTCTGTTCGGAATCCAGCGTGGAAGAAATGTTTCTCTTTCTGAAAAAAAAAAAAAAAAGTCAGCTTTCTAGTTTGTGCACTGTACAATCATGTCCTCCTTCAGTGACGTTTTCGAAGCGGAGTTGCTGTCGTGCTTTTCTGAAAAGGCTGCTGAAATGAGCCATATTTTCCTATGGGGTTAGGCCCTTAAAAAAAGGTGTGTCTCTCGCTAGTGGGGGAGGGGAAGGGAAATTATTGTCTTTACCTTCCAGGAACAGACTCCAGAAGATCAGGTCGCCTCCTTTTGCAAACCTTACAACTTTGCTGAAGTTTTTTTTTTTTTTTTTTGCTCTCCTCTATTTCTTGAGGAGATTTCATTGGTGCTACATATGGACTGCTGCTGATGTAGCACAATAATGTTCTCATGAAGACACATGTTGCCATAATTACAGACTTCTTTGTTTAGGAGATTCTGCACACTTCAAAAAGCTTTTATCTTGAGTTGAAACTGCCCCAGCTTGCCATTTTTTCCCTTTTCACATTCAGCAAGAAAGATGGGCCTCCTTCAGAGAGGGTTTGCATGCCTGAGAAACATAATGCATACATAAATGCAGAGTAACAGCAACGCTTATTTCCTTTCCTGTTTTGCAGTTCAGGATACATTCACTTATTTAATGAAACACCAGTGCCTATAAATAGTGGTTGAGTTAATAATGTAATACTTCCAAAACTGCATCTCTTTCAGGATCTTCCAAACAAAAGAGTTGCCTAGATTGGCTATTACTGGAGATGTAATAGTTTGATAAAAGTATACAAATAGCTCTATAAAGGCAGAATATCTGAAAAGCTGAAACTTGGCAAGCTGTCAGTGCTAGAAAAATGAAAGCCTACTTAGTGGCCTTCTATTTAAAACATTTTCTATTGTTTCTTTCTGAACAATTGGATATAATCTTTCTCCCTCCTGTCCTTGGTATGCATGCCTTCAGTACAAAACAAAATTTCAAATAATCTGTTGGCAGGCAAGATTCCCAAAGCCTGGGGTTGTCTCCTTACCATTGAATTTTCTGAGTAGAAATTATAAATAAATGCCTGCCACTTTTGAAGGCCCCAAATTCATTTTTCTTAATGAGAACTCCATCTTGGCGACAGCTTCTCCATTTCCTCCCCTCCCCCCCAGCAACATGCATTCATTAGCCTTTGACAATTATCTGCAAGAATTATCTAATTAGCAGATACACCAGCATCCATTAACAGTAAACAGATGTAACTTAACACAGGGCTCCTTATAAATCTCAAACAAATAGTTTGTATGTAGACATACATAAATTTTCTGTTTAAAATGTATGATAATATGTTTAAGCTAACTGGGAATGCTGTGTTACTCTCCTTTCCTCCTGCCATTCCATTGTCCTGATGGCTAAGTTAATGTTGCTGATGTTGTTAAATAGGCACCAAAGCCTTGCTGCAGCTGTATTGATTTCTTTCTGGCACTTGAGACTGTGAAGCAAATAAAAATGGCATGATGCACTGGGAATCTTTGCACATGAGCAGGTTGCCACAAATTGCAAGGATGCAAAAACTAAGGAGAATTAAAAAATATCATACTAATTTTCACAGGCCAAATACAATAATAATTCTCTGCTACATTGTGACTATGAGCTGTGTTATGCCTCTGTATCAGTGTATTCCGTTCTCTCGATGCATGGCTCATAGATTTGAGAGTCTTTTAAGATTCATATGGTTAAACTCTGTGTGGGACTGAAACAACCAGGGAGTGGGGGCAGAGCCCAAATATGAGTCCCTTTCCTCTCCTTATTCTGCAGGAAAAAGTCAGGTAACTCTTATCTAACATCCTTTGCAAGGGTGATTTGAGTTTAAGATCTAACATGAAGTTAGCCTTATAACGGGCTAAAGCCCTAAGGCTGCAAATTGTTTGCCCCAATTTTAAATGGTGTGAAACCATTGGTCTTGGTAGCTTACTTCTTGCTTACTACTCCAAGGGACAGCATTTCTCTGCATGTAGGAAAAGCCCTTTTTATCACCACTGCTCAGGTCCTTTTATCTGTAGAGTCCCAAGACAAGGCATACCATTAGCCCCTCCCTATGCTATATAAGCAGAAAAGTTGCCCTTGATTTTATACAGTTTTAATGCATTATTACATCCACCATCTTAGCTCATTTGACATATTTACTGGATACATAATTGTTTTCCAGAAAAGAAGTTTAAGGAACATCTGTGCTGACATTCCTGGCTTGGCTGGAGAATTGTTTGCCTTTGAGGAGACCTTCCTAAATAAATTGGATCTTTCAGTTCCTTAAGTGCAAGGCTTAAATAGCTTTATCTCATGATTTCTTTTCCAAACCACCCAGCCAGTTCAAAAGCTTGATGTGTATCCATTCTGAACATGCTTCCCCTCCTCCTGGTTTTTCTAACCTCCTCCTTCTATTTGGAAGGATAAGTTGCTTCAAACTAGTTGAATATATTCCGTATCAGATGGTAAAAATGTTTCCATCCAGCTATTTTTAATATTCTAGAGTCACTCTGCCTATTAATATGTAGTATTGAATGTTGATCATGCATTCCCAAATATTCCAGTAAAGCCAGAAGTCTAGATGGTTACCACAAAACTCTTAAGTGCTTTGAAGAAGATGAAAATGAAATAAGGGAGAGGAAAAATCTAAAATAAACAGCATTGAAACAGCTCAGCAGACAGTAAGAAATTAAAGGCAAATTAGAAGGAGGGAGAAAGAGGCCTGGACCATAAATCAGTGCAGATGAAAGCAGACTAACAAAAAATATTTGAAAGGAAGTATCTAGAAAGGAAAATTAAAAACTCGGGAATGAAGAGCTAAAATGTTTAAAGATAACATTCCTGGAAATAAATGTGAAAATGTTAGAGTTTGATTTAGGAAGGAGCTTGTCCTAGAACATTTTTTTAAAGATTTCCAGTTCTTAGCTGTGTAACAATAGCAGCAAATCAAGATTTGTGAGCCTGTTCCCATCATACTGCTGAAGAAGCCTGAAATAATAGTTGATATTTGCAAGGAGATGGAACTTCAGTTAAAATCAGTTCCTGCACTACCAACGCCTTATTTCCAAATATCTTTACTTAACACCACATTCTACTTAAGGGGATCATAGAAGTTGCTTGCAGATGTATGTGTGTGTGTTGTGTGTCTCCCCTTTATTACCCACCAGACTGTCCCTTACAGGGATCATTTGTGCATACGCTCTCTCTCGCTTGTTCATTCCCCTTCCTTCAAGAAGCTGTGAGCAATTTTGCTGGGAAGAGAGTCAGCCTTCTTCCGTCTAACAATCTATTGCAGATTGCTGGTTTTCCATTATGAGAAAGGGTGACTTCAGGCAGTCATGGGAAAGGGAGGATAGGAAGAGAAAAAGGTGCCCTCCCTCTCAGCTAATTGCAGAGGGAAACAAATGATCTTAAGCTGGGTCATTGAAAGGAAAAGAGAAAGCAGCAAGGTTTTATAGCCCCTCTACAAGCTGCTGGTTTTTCATTGGGCTTAGCAGGAGAGAAATTAGGGAAGGGGTCTCTGTTAGCCAGCTGATTAGCTGGCTCCTGGGAGAAGCTGGTAGTGCTTTGTATGCCAGGATAAACTACTTTTTTGGGGGGAGGTTGATTTAGGACTAAATATATCTTGCTTTAGTGGGCTTTTTTTCTTTTTGATAAAAATTCAGAGACAGAGATTAATTGATTTTCTGTAGGCTTGAAGTATGGGCGTGTTGTTGATTCCAAAAGAGATGGCTTTGTCTTTCAGGTGATTTAATTATGCACAGGAATGTTTAGATTGCATTTAACTAATAGTAACTGATATTAGCAGGAAGCTTTTTGAGTAGGCTTTAAAAAAAAAGGTTTTCAGTTTCTAACCATTCTGGATCTCTTCTGGTAGAGAAATTTGCATCTGATGTTGCTTTCCCATATGGCGAGATTCCATCTCTGGCTGTTCTTTCATATTTCAACGGTGATTAAGAATGAAATAAAATTCTGCTTATTTATATATTGTTCGGGACCCAGAAGACATGAGTCTGCTCCCATGTCAGCTGTTATTTGTGGTGGATTTCTTGATCACAATAAAAGGGCTCAGGAGGGAACAGCAAGTTCTCCTTTCACGAGTGCATTGATATAGAGCAGGGGTGTCAAACTGCCAGCCAGTGGGCCAGTTGCATCATGCGGAGGCTGCGCCCACCCCAGCTCCAGCAATGCAAAAAAACTTGTGATATGTTGCGACATGTCATGTGATGTGAGTTTGACACCCATGATATAGAGGGTACTAAGAACCCAGAATTTTGTCTGCTGCAACAGAGATTTCTGTTTCTGCCTTTCTTCCAACTTCAGGGTAATCCTCAACTTATAACCACAACTGGGACTGAACTTCCATTGCTAAGTGAGGCCATAATTAAGCAAGTCATGCTTGATTTTATGACCTATTTTGGCACAGTTCTTAAGTGAATCACCATAGTTAATCTGTGGTTGTTAAGCGAATCCAGCTTCCACCATTGATTTTGCTTGTCAGAAGCCAGCTGGGAAGGTTGCAAATGGTGATCACGTGACCCCGGGGTATTGCAGCAATTGTAAACACATGCCTGTGGCCAAGCGCTCAAATTGTTATCATGGGACTGCAGAGATACATGTAGTCCTCAACATACAACTGTTCACTTAATGACCATTCAGAGT